TAAAATTACCAAAAAAAAAAAAAAAAAAAAAAAATCTATTGAGAAATAAGATATTTCCATGACAAAAAAATAACTGAAAATATTCATGACCACTAAACCAGCTCTACAAAATGTCTTGAAGGACATTTTAGAAAGAAACAAAGAAGACTGCAGCTCCAAGAACACCAATGTAAAGAAGCTACCAGGAAGGGCAAGCAATTAAACAGTGGGGAAAGATGGGAACCAGCAACAGGAAAATAATATGACAAGGACAAGCCAATACCTTTCAGTTATAACCATCAATATAAATGGTCTCAATTCACCAATGAAAAGAAATAGACTGGCAGAATGTATCAAGAAACAAGATTCAGGGCTGAGGATTTAGCTCAGAAGCACACACCTGCTTGCAAGCTCAAGGTCCTATGTTTGATCCCTAGTACCAAAAGAGAAAGGAGGGGAAGAAAAGGGAGGGAAAGAAAGGAAAGGGGAGGGAAAGAAAAGACAAGACAAGAAATATGATGCAACAAATTGCTGCGCATAGGAAACATTCAACAAGAAATTCAGACTGAAAGACAAAAGATGAAAAACAATACTCTATTCAACAGGAACCCAGAATAAAGCAAGGGTAACTATTCTATTTGCAGACAAAGTGGATTCAAGTGAAGACTGATTAAGAGAGATGTCATTAATCCTTGGTAAAGGGAACAATCCAAGATGAAGTGATAACAATCATAAAAATGTATGCACCAAATATGAGTACACCAACTATGTAAAACAATTATTAATGGACACGAAAAACAAAATAGGCACTAATACAATTGTAATGGGTGATCTCAATACCCCACTGTCACAAATAGATCAACTAGACAAAAAATAATCAACAAAGAAATATCAGAACTGAACCAAACCAGTGAAAAAATGGACTTAGAAGATGTCTACAGAGTGTTTCACCCCACATCAGAATACATTCTTCTCAGCTGCACATGGGACATTCACCAAAAGAGACCACATACGAGGCCATAGAAAATGCTTAAAGAAATGCAAAGGAATTGAAATTATCCCATTCATATTATCTGACTATAATGCAATGAAAATGGACATCAACAGCAAAAGAAACCACAAAAATTCCATAAACACATGGAAATTAAATAACATGTTCCTGAACAACCAATGGGTCACAGATGAAATTAAAGAAATTAAACATATACACAATTAAATGATAATGCCAATACAATATACCAGACTTATAGGACACAATGAAAGCAGTCCTAACAGGAAAATTTACAGCAGTAAATTCTCACATCAGAAAAGCAGAACATGCTCAAATGAACAACCTAAAGTTGAACTTCAAACAGCTAGAAAAATAAGAATAAGTCAAGCCTAAAGCCCATATGAGAGGAAATTACAAAGATCAGAGCAGAAATTAATGTAAACTGACACTAAGAAAACAATACAAAGAATAAATGAATCAAAGATTTGGTTCTTTGAAAGATTAAAATTGAAAAACCCTTAGCCAACCTTATCAAAAAAAAGAAAGAATGGATATTTGAAATGAACAGACCCTTCTCAGATGAAGAAGTAGAAACAGCAAATAAATACATTAAAAATGTTCAACATCACTGATCATTCAAGAGATGCGAATTAAAACAATGCTGAGATTCCATCTCACTCCAGAAAGAATGGCTATTATCAAGAAATCAACCAGTATCACCACCTGCCCCACAAAAGCAAAGTCCTGTGTTCGATCCTTGGTACCAAATAAATAAATAAATAAAACAAATCTACGAGGGCAGTGGGGAAAAAGGAACCCTTCTCCACTGTTGGTGAAAGTGTAGACTACAACCACAGGGGAGCTCAGTGTGGAGATACCTCAAAAAACTAGAATTAGAGGTCCCATTTGAGCTAGCTATTCCCCTTTTGGGTATCTTCCCAAAATAATTCAATGCATCATACCACAGCGATAAATGCACAGCCATGATTATAGCAGCACAGTTTAAAGTATCTTGGAAACAACCAAAATGCCCATCAACCCATGAATAAACAAAAAGATGTGGGATTTTGTTTTGTTTTGGTACCAGGGATCAAACTCAGGAACTTGCGATTACAAGGCAGGTGGCAGAACCACTGAGCTAAATCCCCAGCCCATGGGGTTTTTTTATTTAATGGAGTACTATTCAGCCATAAAGAAAGGATAAACTTGAGCCCTTTCTAGGTAAATGGATGCACCTTGAAACTATACTCTGAAGTGAAATACATCAAACACGTGTATATACTGCATTGTTTCTCTGTTGTGAGAAACGGAAAGTGTAAATAAGGAACAAAATAAATATTGTGAAAGAAACTGTTCAAAATTATACCATGTGAAATAATTTGTTAATAACAAATGTTTTATGCAAACAAAAAAGGTATATTAGGAAATTAGTTGAGAGATTAGCAAATGAAAATGTATTACAATCATGATACACAGTGTATTCACCATTGTTATTCTCAGTATTTTTGTTATGAAAATTTTTTCATAGAACTGCTTTTACATTTTACTAATATCTACTGTATTACATTAAAAGGTTAAAAGTTAATTAATACAGTTTCAAATTTTAAACTGTCAATACAAAAACCACTAAGAAATTGTCAGATGTAGGGGAGATGAGGGTGTGCCTCAGTGTGGAAGGCCCTGGGTTCTTCAATCCCTACCACCACAAATAAATCATCACTTGTAGATGAAGATACAATAGCAAAAGCTGGACATGGTGGTGCACACCTGTAACCCCAGCACTTAGAAGACTGAGACAGGAGGATTGCTATGAGTTCAAGACCAACCTGGGCTACATAGTGAGTTCCAGGTCAGTCTTAACTACATAGTAAGACCCTGTCTCAAAAAAAAAAAAAAGAATAATAAGCATAATTATCTGAAAAGGCTATTAAAATACTCTCTGCCTATGGTCACACCAACTCAGGAGGCTAAAGCAGAAACAATCATAAATTTGAAGCCCTGACTCAGCACAAAACAAACAGAAAAGAGCTGGGGATGTAACTCAGTGAAAAAGTGCATGCCCGGGGTGCTCAAGAACCTAACTTTAATCCCCTGTACCTCAAAAGAAGAAGAAGGCTGGGACTTGGTGGCAGATCATTTACCTAGTGTTATGGCTGTGTTTAGATGTCTCCCCCAAAGCCTCATGCTTTTCAGAAGTGGCTGAATGTTAAGTGTGTGACTGATTCATGGTGAGTTAGGTCCAAGGGCACTAGCATTAAGGGTCTAAGCACTATCTGCCCTAAGTAGTCTGAATAAAAGGGGCATAAAGATGCTGTTAAGGTCTCTTGTTAACTAATATTTTTCAACACCATGAACTGTTTCGCCTCTATGATGCTGTCTGCCACACCACCCTCCCTGTCTTGGAGCCAGCTAATTATGTGTTCAAACCTCTACAAACTATACAAAGTTACTGTATTAGAAATTAAAACTAAGACATTTAAAAACTCAATAGAAATAATAAAACAATTGCATTTACCATAAAATAATAATCTTTAATGAAAAAACTTTCCTAATACAAAAAAAAAATGGAAAGAAAGGGATTATTTTATACTTTAGGATTATTTTTAACTTCTGGCTTAAAAGAACCCAGCCAGTTCTCCTATCTACTTCTGCATTCAGTTTCATGAATTATGTTGATTTGATTGAACTATGTGAAAAATTTCAGCTTGACATGGATTTGTAATTGGAAAAAATAGAGGAATATTTTACTTACTTTACTTTCTCAGTACTGGGGATCAAACCTAGAACCTTGTCCATGCCAGACATCTTAGTTACTTTTTACTCATGGCTGAGGCAAAATACCCAACACCCAAAGTTAAAGGTTTTTGCCAGCTAGCCCTTTCAAAATGTTTTTAACTCTGAGACAGGGCCTCATTAAGGTGCCTAGGTTGGCGTCAAATTTGCAATTCTCTTTCCTAAGTATCCTGGGTGGCTGAAATTACAGGCATGTGCCACAAAGCCTGGATCTTGTTGATAAATGTTAGCTTGGGCACCTTCAGGCACACTCAGCTTCTACGTGTCCCAGTCATATTATACCATGAACAATTCACCCTAGCCTAACTGGCCCTGATGATACTGGAATTTGCCAAATATGATACAGTAATAGTAGAAATAACAGTAGATAACTAAAGGTATGCCTGTAGCTCTCTTTTGTCATACTAACCAAAGGCCCCATATAAGCAAAACATACCTGCAAGCATTTGCTGCCCAGACACCATACTAAGTAGCTTCTCCTGCTCTTCCATGAGCTTCTGCAGTTGCTCTAACTGTTGCCTCTTCAGTTGTTCCTGCTTCTTCTGCTGTGCTTCTTTCAGCTTTGTAAACATAAAATTAAATTTATTAGACTAACTTCATACTTCTTCAGGAATCCTTTCTCCTTACATTTATCTTAACTCTTCCATCTCCCTTCTTCTATCTTCCCTGATGAAGAGTTTTAGAGAGAGACCCTTCACTGACTAAATCTGCCACCAAATCCCTACAATCCCTACAATCAGAGTAAAGAAAAACAGAGGGTCTGAAATAGGACACTTGCAATCACATAGTATCTTCAAACATGCTAATATGTATTAAGCCAAATCCTATTGTACCTGCTCAAGCTTTTTAAAAAGTGGATCTTTATAAGCCACTTCTTTGAATTCACTAGCAACATTGAGCATAAAGTCACTTTTGTCATCTTTCTGATCTCCAGGAACATCCTGACATGCCACTATTTGTGGTCCCTTTTTAATTAAAGGCAAAACTATTTGCGCTTCTGATTTTTCTGACTGTAATTTACAAGGGCTGCTAGACTCCAACTTCTGTTCTTCAGGAAGTGAATCTTCTTCACTGATAAAGTTGAAACTATCTGAAAAATGTGTAGCTTTAATAGGAAAGCTAGTAGAAGTATTTGTAGCTGGTTGCTTCTCTTCATCTGCTTCCAAAATAGGGAATCCACGACTTAATATGACCCCAGCGCGAGACGAATTGGTCATCCACTGGGTTAGGAAGTTCTGCCCATTGTTTAGTTCTGAAGAGGTTGGCATCAGAAACATAGTCGAATGACGCTATTATATATATTTAAACAAGAGAACAGCCAGAAGAGCTATTGATTTCCAATACCTGTAGATAAAGACAGTCAACAAAAAGTGTTAGATATTTTAATTAGATGTTCTACCCCAAACTAGCCCAAACCTCAACCCAGCACAAAAATTTAATCAATGTTAAATATATAGCATGCCTGTAATTCAGCACTTGGGAGGCTGAGGCAGGTGGACTGCCATGTGTTTGAGGCCTACATAGTGAGTTCAAGACCAGCCTGAACTACACAGCGAAACCCTGTCTCAAAAAGCAAAAAAACAAAAAAGTTAAATATATAAAAGACCTTAACTAGTAAAGCAGCTGGGCACTGATCTACATCATTGGTTTGGTTTTTTTGTTTTCAGAGTTCCCAAACTGAGTAACCAAAAAGCTAAATGCCAGGGATTTAGCTCAGTGGCTCCACGCCTGCCTTGCAAATGCAGGGTCCTGAATTCGATCCCCAGTTCTGAGAAGAAAAAAGAGAAAAAAAAAAAATCTAAGATCCTTTCTGATGTAATCATTCAATTATTAATGATATACAAGTGCTGGACCAAATGACCTAAAACTATGGGATCTAAGACACATTCCAACTTGATCAATTTTTTTTTTTTAAGCACTGCCAGTGTCAGGCTTTACACTAAGAGCTTCTTGTTTCTTTGCCCAACTACAGAACCTGTTTTCTCCAAATCTGAGCAAAAACAGCTGTGACTATCACTAATTAGCACCACTCCCATAGCTTTTCACTGTTTCCCTATCCCTTCCTCTCTACCCACCAATCTCACTTCCCCAGTCCCTAACATCGCTAATTAAGCATTTATCTCAGTCTAAGAGTTATTTCATTTTTATATCCATACTCTACCTGCCAAGCTGTGGAATTCCTGAAAGGTTAACTATATATTCTCCATTGCCTAGCACCATGGCACTATACCTGTCAGATAGAAGGAGCTGAATAAATATTTGCTAAACTTGAGTTTAACATAAATCAGCAGGACACAGTATTAAAATAAAAATCAACAGCTTTCCAATAGACCAGTAATGAACTTACTGAGAATGAAATCAGGAAAACAAATATATTCCCAACAGCTTCAAAAAGTAAAATAAAATAGGGAGCAATCTAAGCAAAAAGATGAAAGACCTCTACAATAAAAATTTTAGAGCACTGAAGAAAGAAACTGAAAAATATACTAGAAGATAAAAAGACTTCCCATATTCATGGGTTGGCAGAACTAATACAGTATTGTTAAAATTGCAGATTCAGTGCAATCCCCATCAAAATACCAATGACATTCTTCACAGAACAAGAAAAAAAATCCTTAAAATTCATATGGAGGGCTGGGAATTTGGCTCAGTGGTTCTGCCACCTGGCTTGCAAGTGAAAGGTCCCAAGTTTGATCCCTGGTACCACAAAAAAAAAAAAAAAAAAAAAAAAAAAAAAAAAAAAATTAAATTTTTAAAAAAAAAAAAAAAAAAAAAAAAAAAAAGAAGAAGAAGAAAATTCATACAGAAACACAAAAGACCTGGAATAGTCAAAGCAATCCTGAGCAAAAAGAGCAAGTATGAGCTGTCACAATACCTGATTTCAAAATGGGGAAAGATATTTAATATTTAATACTAAGCTTTAAAAAGAAACCTGTGCAGGGACAAGGGGAAAAAATGAGAACCAAGACCTGTCATGTAAAGGTACAAGATCCCAATAATGAATGTAACTATACTGTACTGTATACCTACAATTTACCAATAACTCAATTAAAAAAAAAAAGAAACCTGCTATCATTGCTATGTATCTTGATGCAAAGATGGATAATAATAAATGAAAGTATAGAAGACAAAAAAAATACCTGATTTCAAATTATAAAGCCATGGTAACAAAAACATGATACAAATACAAAAACAGACATGCAAACTAATAGAATAGAACAGAAGATGCAAAGACAAATCCATGCACCTACAGTCATCTGATTTTTGGCAAAGGAACCAAAAACATACACTGGAGAAAAGATAGCCTTTTTAATAATTATGGGAAAATTGGAAATCCACCTGCAGAAGATTGAAATTAGATTCTTTTCTTTGGAGGTAGTGTCTCACTATGTTGTTCATGCTGGCCTTGAACTCACTATGTATCCCAGACTGGCCTCAAACTTGTAAGGATCCTCCTGCCTCAACCTCCTAAGTACTGGGATTACAGGCTCGCACCACGACACCCAGCTGAAACTAGATTCTTATCTCTCATCCTGGACCAAACTCAGATCAAAATTGATCAAAGTCTTGTCATAAAACCGGAAACCTTAAAACTGTTGGAAAACGTAGAATAGACACCTTGAAGCTAACCACATAAGCAAAAACTTCATGATTAGGACTTCAATAGCATAATAAATAATATCAAGAATCAATAAAGGGGACTACATCAAATTTAAAAGCTTCTGCTCAGCAAAGAAAGCAACAGCACAAAGACACTACCTACAGAATGGGAGATACCTTTAGGAGTTACTCTTCCAATAGAGAATACCTACAACAGCTTATATGCCATCAACAGATGAAGAATGGGTAGAGGAAATGTGGTCCAATACATACACAGTGGAGTATTATTCAGCCACAGAGAAATAAATCACGTTATTTTCAGGGATGGAACTAGAGACCAACCATCAAGTTAAGCAAAATAAGCCAGTCTCAGTTAAAATTAGCCAGGAGTGGTGGCACATGCCGATAAGTCCTGAATTTCAGAGGCTGAAGCAGGAGGATTGCTGTGGGTTCAGGGCCAGCCTGAACAACATAGCAAGACCCTGCCTCAAAAAAGGGGGGGTTAGGGGGAGAGCATACTTTCTCTTATATAATAAATTAAGAATGAACACAAAAGCAAAGGGTGAGAGAACGGGAAACTAGAAGACAGTCTTCTAGAGATGGGCAAGAGGATTAGGAGGACAGAAAAAGGAGAAGAGATGAAGGGGATTAAATTTAGCAAATATACCATCATACATCTCATTATTCTGTGCTAACTTTTTTTTTTTTTTTTGGTACCAGGGATCAAACTCAGGACCTTGTGCTTGTGAGGCAGGTGGCAGAACCACTGAGCTAAGTCCCCAGTCCTGTTTTACTTTAAATAAGTTCAGTATTATGAAGTATTATTTGTTTTTAATGTTCAACAATAAAAATACAATGGTTAATGCTGTAAGACAGTGACTACATGTATAACTAAATGTCACTCTGCAATAAATACACTAAAACAGAGTATCATAGAGAAACTAAGTTCCTTCCTTTTGCATGACTAATTTTCCTCAACTAACATTTACTATTTCTTACTTTACGCCAGATATTTATTGCTTTAGGCCTGGAGTACATAGCTGTACATAAGTCAATCTAGTGGGAAAAAGAGACACAAACTTCTATACATTGTAGAAGAATTAAAGAGTTGGTGGAGGAAAAAAATGGTAATTTACAGCCAACAGAGACACACAAAAAAATTCAGACATCCAGACTTCCAAGCCTTCATCTGTAGGATTCCTTATTGATACCATATTATTCCTCTAGGATCCCCAGTTCTCAAAGCTTTATTATCACTAGCTACTGTTAATCTCCAGGATTAACTTCTTTATAGGAAACCTTTGAATTCTCTAGGATTAATCTCTTTAAATGTCTCTCTAATGTCTAATATCCCCAAAAAGCCCCAGGCTCCCAAGCCACCCTGTATCTCTCCTACATGATAACCTCTTAAATGCTAATAATCTACCTTGTCCTCTCATGTTTCACTTAGTCACCATCTCCCAGGCATCTTACAGGCCAATACAATCACTGCCCTCTATCAGCAAAATCTCCTATTAGCCTTCACCCTTTCTCTGAGCATTTCCTCGCCTTCCTGAAACCCTTCTACCTGTAGAGCCCTTACTATTGTACCACTAGGCCTAAATGTGTTGATTTTCTGCTTCTAGACTGTTCCTCCTCCCTCCACCCAATTTTAAATCTCGTCTGATCAGACTATATACCTACATTCCTTTCTTTATTGTCTAATAACCTGCAGGTCACTAGGATTCTCTCCTTCATTCTTTAAAATTTTCTGGCAGACCAACTGCAAGAACAGTTCCATTTCATTAACTAACATGGAATGACTAGGGCTAAAACAGGTTTGGGGGAGAAATGAAGAATTAAATTTTTGATATTTTAAATGCCAGGACATCCAAGTAGAGTCACTGTGTAGGCAGCTGAATGATGTAGAATGGAATTAACATAAAAAGAAAAGAACATGAAGCACGTATTTGGGCATCTTCAGCTTCACAATGGTATCTATAGCACTGCACTGGAGGAACAGAGGGAGACAAGAGATGTATGTCCTTGAAGCTAAATTAAAGTATTTCAAGGAAGAGAGATTATTAAATGCTATAAACACATGAAAGGTGAGGAGAGCTAAAAAATGATTTCTGATTTTAGCAAAGCAAAAGTCCTAAGAACTTCAATGACAGAGCAGTTTGGGAGTGAAGGATCAAAAGCTTAAATGGAGAAGATACATGAAAGAATAAAGCAACTGGAAACAGTGACTACAGCTAAATCTGACCAGCTTTGCTATAAGAGAAAAGAAATAAACAGAACAATAGCTGTACAACAAAGAGGGACTTTTTTATGACAAGAAAAATAAGAGCATGCTTGTAAGCTAGTCTATGTATCAGAGCTACCTGTCCAAAAACACTTTTAAATGATTCTTTTTGTTTTGTTTTTTTGAGATAGGGTGTCACTATGTAGTCCAGGCGGGCCTTGAACTCACTATGTAGCAGAGGGTGGCCTCAAACTCGGGGTGATTCTCTTGCCTCAGCCTCCAGAGTGCTGGGATTACAGGTATGTACCACCATGCCTGGGTTTTAAAATGACTCTGAACAAGATCAGAATCATTTACAGCTTTGGCCAGCTGTAAAAAGCTTATACTAAAACAAAAAAAGGAAGGGAGGGAAGGAAAAAAGAAAACATTTTTTAGATCTAGAAGTGTGGCTTGGCAGTAGAATACATGCCTAGCACATACCAAGGGCCATCCCCAGCACACACGCACACACACACACACACAGAGCATTCACCAAAGGGGGGGATTTTTAATTGGAAAGGAAAATAACTTAGGCTGTGGAAATTTTATCATTAAATGATGAGATTTTAAAAGATATTTTATATTAGCCACACCTACTGATACCTGACCAACTCCATATCCAAGAATTCTGTACCCTGGCCACAACCATCTGCCAACTCCAAACCAGCTCTCCATTTTGTTTCCCCTTCACATGGAGCAGCAGAGACACCAATTAACCCATGACCTCATCATGAATGAGACCAATGTCCAGAAGCACAGTACACCTAAGGAGAAAATACAGACCTGGCCAGAAGCACTAGCCTCAAGAAAAACCCATGGCTACCGTAAACTACACAGTGTGGGGTTTTACTCCAAAAGTTACTCCTTAAGAAATCCAGTATAGCACCTGCCATCTTGACAGAGTTGAATCAGATTCCATTTGGGTTTAAGACAACCTCAGAACTACAGACCAACTCCACTTCAGGGTTTCTAGTGTCAGAGTCCAACAGTGACTGGGTGAAAGTCAGCCACAGAAGACAGTCACAGAAAGGGCACAAACTAGACAAGAGACCCTCAAAGAAGGTTAAGCCTAGGCCAGAAAAGACACGGGCCCTACCCTCTGTAGTGAGAATCCAGGCTCAGTGAGCATGGCTTTCAGAGGAGACTGGAACTGAAAGTGTTGGCATGAAGTGAGAAAGTCTTCTTGAACCCCCACCCCATAGCCTACATCCAGAAGAAACTACAGAGCTGATAGCTTTTCCACCTACCCACACGCACCACAAGAACATTCCTCAGCTGCCATAGTCTGGGATGAACAGACAGAGGGGACTCCGGGGTAAGGAAGGCACCTCACAAAACAGTCCATAAAGCTGAGCACAGACCTCTTT